AAACTTTATATTAAATCATCGTTCTAATATAGGAATTCAAAATATAGGAGAGATGAGATTTATCTAGGTCTGTCAGAGAATTTTGGAGGATCTAAGATACAAGTTTTTGGATTCGTTCAAGATCGCTTGACAAATATGGTTAATGGCTGGACTTTTAAAATTTTTACTAAAGGAGGAAAGGAGGTGATCATCAAATCAGTGGTCACGGCTTTATCGAATCATGATGTCTTGTTATCGTTTGCCAAAGGCAACAGTGAAGATACTGACAAATGCAGTATAGTACAATTCTGGTGGAGCCAAGGTGGCAGTACGAAAGGCATGCATTGGAAATCATGGGAAAAAATTGTATAAACAAAGACGAAGGAGGGTCGGGTTTCAAGGACATCACGGATTTTAACACGGCGATGCTTGGTAAGCAGCTATCACGTCTGATTAAGAAACCAAATACCTTATTCTCTCGAGTGTTCAAAGGACGGTACTACATGAATGCTTCACCCCTGAAACCGATCTGATCACACTCCCCGTCGTATGGCTGGCGAAGTATCGTATCTACTAGATCTCTGGTTAGCAAATGACTAATTAAATAGGTGGGATCAGGATCATCTATGGTATGGAAAGATCCATGGATCTCAACCACTCGTCCGAGGCCAGCAAATAAAAAACAACATAACAGTTACCTGGATCTTACAATTGACTCTCTCATTAATTCAGCTTCGCGAACTTGGAACTCGCAGGTGATCCAGGATTTATTGGATCCCCGGGATGCAAAATAATAGAAAGCATACCTTTAAGTAGGACGCATATGGGGGATAGAGATGGATGGCACTTTACTAATGATGGAAAATATACGGTCTAATCAGGCTATCAAGTATAACGGGATTACCCAGATAGGGAAAAACCAGCAGCAATGTTTAGACCCACAATTGATATTCTGAAAGCGTTTTGCTGGAAAGTACGGTGCCCTCCAAAGATTAAGCATTTCTTATGGCAAATGGTGTCGGGATGTATATCAGTTAAGAAAAATCTACAAGGAAGAGGGCTATAAGGGGATGTATGTTGTGACAGATGTGGAGCTTCAGATGAGTCAATAAACCATGTGTTTTTCGAATGTCTTCCAGCTCGTCAAGTTTGGGCCTTGTCAAAAATACCCTCAAATCCAGTTCCCACTAGTGCTCTATTCACAAATATGGATCATCTATTTTTGAGAGTTCAACCGAAACTGGACGATCATCAGTTTGCATGGATTTTATGGTACATTTGGAAAGGAAGGAATAACAAAGTTTTCAGTAATATAGACGTTGACCCGACACTCAAATATGCGGAAACATAAGCAATTCTTTGGGCTGACGCACAAGTATTAACCGCACGGAGAGCAGCACAACAAGTAGAGGTATCCAATTTACCAGCACAACAAGTAGAGGTATCCAATTTACCGGTGATTCCAGGGCGTTGGTGTTTTACAGATAGTTCTTGCAAAGTTAATGATCGGTTTTCAGGACAAGGTTGGTTTAGTACGCTGGAAGGTTTTGATGGTTTGATGGGGGCAGGTAATGTCAGAACTAGTCTTTCCCCTCTCCACGCGGAGGTAGAAGCGCTACTTTGGGCAATGGAGTGTATGAGGAATTTGCGTCAATTTCGGGTTACCTTTGCAACGGATTGTTCTCAACGGGTGAAGATGGTTGAACTAGAAGAATGGCCTGCTTTTGCAAGTTATTTGAAGGATATCAAGACCCTGCAAGACGGTTTCCTCAGCTCAGAGATCATTCATGTAACACGAACTCAAAATTTGAAGGCGGATAGTCTAACACGGAGTGCCAGGATGCAACCGTCTTTTGTCGTTCATATGGATGCAACCGTCTTTTGTCGTTCATATGGATGCAACCGTCTTTTGTCGTTCATATGGATGCGGAGCTACCGATATTGTTCATAGAACCAGTATGAATTTGTTTTTGTAAGCTGATGAAATAAAAATCACCGTTCTAATAAAAATTAGTATACCTAATATTTACATGGATTTTGCATGCATATATTGTGCTGTAATTTTAATCTAACATAATCTTTATTCATGTCTCACATAAAACTTATGTATGCGAAATAAAAAGAGCTTAACATCATTACCAACACAATCTTCTAAAAATAGGCATGTTTAAAAAGAGTAGCCTAATCATATGGAGGCTTAAATATTTTCTTTATTTTTAGATTTTAAAATCCAATAAAATAAGCTTGAAAATCTTTCTATCTATTTGTTGAATAGTTAACAGTTCGGAAAAAAAAGATTGTGGAAGGACGATGATTTATTGGTTAAATTTTTGAAGCTTTAGCGATCAAGTAGGAGTTTTAATCTCCAAAACGATAACATTTTTTTACAGATTATAGTAGCTCTAGACATTTAGGTTTTCAGGGTCGCATTCATACCGGTCTTATCGAATCTGCATCTTTTGAGTCTTACATATTTGGATTCAGTATAGTAATTTAGATTTATCATTCGTGTCCGATACATATTATATCAGGTCTAGATCGACTCAGATCTAATTGTATAGAAACTATTAATACACGCTATTTTTATTGTCTTTTATGGTTTCAGATCGGTTTGGATATTTAAGACTTGAAAAATATTCAAAAATATCCAAAACCCAAAAACATATGAAAATATTTAAATACCTAAAAATATCAAAATTTTAATTAAAATATGATCTGGAGATACAAAAAAGTACCCTAAAATTTATTTGGTTACACAAAGTATATTTTTGAAAACCTAAAGTTATACACGGAACTCAAATTTATACTAGTAAACCAAACCTAAAACTTAAAAAATATCCATAGTACCAAAAATATATTGAAACATCGGTTTTGGATATTTCAAGTATTCCATCGGTTTCGGATTGGATCTAGGACCCATGGATCCTCTTCAACAAGACCTTATTTTGGGTTGATTTTGGTTCAGAATCCGGGTAAAATGTTTGTCCTAGATTATAGGATGCAAATTTATCCGTGAATTTCAGAATACTGCATGCCGAGTCGTTTGTTGTAATCCTATGATGTGGAGAGAACTTATCCATTAAAGATATCTTACATACAAAACCGTCAATTGATCTGAAGGTTATATGAAGAGCTCTACATGCAGTACTCTGAAATCATTCGATAAGTTTGTAGTACTACAACAACCCCAATCATATTAGCTAGCTATTTATGATACATAGGTGCAACTTGATAAGTTGGGTGCCTTGAATAGTACGAAGAGAATCACAAAGGAGGGTGATTAAAATAATCAAAGCAACACCAAAAACATGTTTATTGGAAGTTTTTAGCGTAATACAAAAATTATCTCTTAACTTTTAACCAAAAAAAAATAAGAATTTTCTCTTAAAATATTTATTTAAGAATCAATTTTTAATTTTCTTAATTAAAAATTAAGAGATAGTTTTTATATTACGATCCCATTCTATAAACTTCCCGATAAACATGGCCTAATGAGAAATAGTGATTGAGCGCAATAGGTTCAATGTTTGAGAACTAGAAGACTTGAAAAATAAACAAAGCAGGAGGAAGATAGGTGTACAATTCGAGGACTACACGTGATTTGCGGAGTGTGAGCAGTTGACTATATTAAACAGTATCAAAAGACAGCACTCCATTTTCGATGCCCCCATCTCAACATTATATAGCTCACATAATATTGTTTATATATAATGTTATAGCAGAAAATTCCGTTGTCTCACTAGACTCACAAAACACTGTTTACCATAAAAATTTATCAATTTCATATTTTATACAAAATTATTGGGTTAGATACTTCAAAATGTAAGTACAATCAAGAGACTCGCCACTCTCCTCGTAGTATAAACAAAACAAATAATCACTTATCATCAATGCAAAAATGAAAAGTCACGTGGGACCTGTGCGCCTGGCCTTTTCCCCAGAATCTCAACGGTTCCACCTCTTTCACGGCATCGGACACGTGCGTCCGGCCTGAAAGTTCAACCAAACCCCACACGGCTCTAAGGAACGGCACTTTCCTCGCGCCACGTGCGCCTTATACAGCCATGAAGCGTCACAGCCGTCACGAGAAGTCCGATTACAATAATATCAGTTTGTGATGTCAATGTTTGGTTTAACTTGAAACAGTTGTCACATTTCCTTTTTATCATTTAAAAGAAAAATGCTTACATAATTTTGTGATTAAAAAGTAATTACATTTCTACTTATTTCAACAATAGTTGTTTTTATTGATTTACTATAACGTTTTCGAAAAATACAATGTCACTATTAGTAGTACATGATTAAAGAATAAAATTAATTTGGAACACTATTTTACCTTTTTGTCCATTTTACCTTAATGCGACATGCTATAGAAGAAAACGAAAGCCTGCATGAGAGTTTTAGACCTAACAAGCTTTTGTTGACTTTGTTCCAACTAAAAGTGTAGTTTGTTTCCCACTAATGTGTTCAATAAACATATAGATTTGAAACAAACGACGCCGGCTTTGTCTCCATGTGCTTATAGATATTTTTTTCAAAATATACATTTTATTGAATGTAACTTTTGTATACTCGTTTTATATTGTCTCTGAACGATTAATCCATTAAAATAAGTAAATATTGTTAAACAGTGACATGCAATAAATAGTTCTGCAGGATTCTGTCCACAGAAATTATATAGGAATAAAAATTGATTACTATAATTTGTTAACAACCAAAAGAAAAATAAAAAAAAAGGTAAACAGGTGCCTACAGTTTAGAGAAGAAGAGAAGAGACCTCTCACTGTTCTTGAGAAAACGAAAGAGCTTTCTTTTTTCTTTAAAAGTCTTCATTGCATTGTCTTCTCTACTGTTATCTTCAAAATTAAAACATTGACAAATTTGGTAAAACCCCAACTACTCTCTGCTTTAGCTTTTTAGATTGGTTCTGTCTCACTCGCCTCGAAAAAGACCTGCACTTGCAGATTTACACCATTATAAAATGACCCTGGAAAAAAAGAAAACAACACTTTTGTGGCGGCTCTGAACTCGAACTCTTAAGCTTTATCTAAGAAAGCTTTGCAATTTAGGGTTTGACGGTATTCCTTTACTCTGTCTTTTTTTTTTTTTTTGCTTAAGTTACAAGTCTTGAATAGAGTTCGAAGTGCTTTTTTGGGATGTGAGCATTTTAGTTTATACTTTAATTACAAGCAAGCTATGAATCTTGTCTGTTAGTTTTGATTTCATACTCTTTCTTGGGATTCGATTTCAGGAAGATACGTGTTGCTGATCTCAACTCGCTTGTTGCTTCAGTTACAAGTCTTGAAAGCTCGATTCTTTTGGGACACTACCATGTGGCTGTGAGTTTTCAACTCCACTTATGAAAGTTGCAACTCTTTTGCTGTGATATTGAGACATGACCATGTTTACTATGGTGATCATTCTCCTATTGGTGCTCTTCTTTGTTGGTTCATCTCTGAGCCAACCAACGCGTACTTGTCACCCCAGCGACTTATCTGCGCTCAGGGAATTCGCAGGAGCGTTGAAGAACAGGTCTGTTACTGAATCTTGGTTCAAAGATTCGAGTTGCTGCGAATGGGAGGGTGTGTTTTGCGAAAGGAGTGATGTTTCTGGTCGAGTTACAAAGCTGGTTCTGTCTGGGAAAGGTTTGGAAGGTGTGATGTCTGGTTCTTTAGGCGAGTTGAGTGAGCTGAGATTACTTGATCTCTCTCATAACCAACTTAAAGGGGAATTACCATCAGAGATTTCAAATTTGCAGCAGCTTGAAGTTCTTGACTTGAGCCATAATCTTTTATCAGGGTCAGTCTCACATACAGTTTCCGGTTTAAAGCTGGTTCAGTCACTGAACATCTCCAGCAATTCGCTGACCGGGAATCTATCCGGTGTTGGAGTGCTTCCACGTCTTGTGATGCTTAACGTAAGCAACAATCTGTTGGAAGGTGAGATTCATCCTGAGCTATGCAGCTCATCTGGTGAGATTCAGGTTCTTGATTTGTCGATGAACCGTTTGGTGGGGAGTCTTGATGGATTGTACAGCTGCAGCAGATCTGTTCAGCTATCAATATCTGGAAACTACTTATCAGGAGAGTTAAGCGAGAAGTTGAGTAATCTCACTGCTCTTAAGTCTTTCTTGGTATCCGAGAACCGGTTCTCTGGTGTAATTCCAGATGTGTTTGGTAATCTCACTCAGCTTGAGCATCTTGACGTAAGCTCCAACAAGTTCACCGGAAATTTTCCTTCAAGCTTATCTCAATGCACGAAGCTTAAGGTGCTTGATCTTCGGAACAACTCTTTATCAGGTTCTGTTGATCTTAACTTCACTGGATTCCTGGATCTTTGCGTTCTTGATTTCGCTAGCAATCATTTCTCTGGAAATCTTCCTGATTCTCTTGGCTATTGTCCCAAGATGAAGATCTTGAGTTTGGCCAAAAACGAGTTCACTGGCAAGATCCCTGACACGTTCAAGAACTTGAAGTCTCTTTTGTTCCTATCCTTATCCAACAACAGCTTTGTGGATTTGTCAGAAGCAATGAACGTGCTTCAACATTGCAGGAACCTCTCGACTCTGATCCTCTCAAAGAACTTCATGCACGAGGAAGTACCGAGAGATGTCACCGGTTTCAACAACCTCGCCATTTTAGCCCTCGGAAACTGCGGTCTTAGAGGTCAGATTCCGAGGTGGCTGTTGAGTTGCAACAAGCTGCAGGTTCTTGATCTCTCTTGGAACCACTTTCACGGAACCATCCCTCGTTGGATAGGTCAGATGGAGTCTCTCTTCTACATAGACTTCTCAAACAACACTTTAACCGGAGAAATACCTCAAGCCTTAACCGAACTCAAGAGCCTGATCCATCTAAACTGCACTGGCTCTCAGATAAGTATCCCTCTCTACGTTAAGAGGAACAAGAGCTCGAGTGGTCTTCCCTATAACCAAGTTTCAAGATTCCCACCATCTATCTATCTGAATAATAACCGTCTGAACGGTACAATCTTGCCGGAGATAGGACGTTTGAAAGAGCTTCACATGCTGGATTTAAGCAAGAACAACTTCACCGGGACGATACCTGACACCATTTCAGGTCTTGACAACTTGGAGCTTCTTGATTTTTCTTACAACCATCTCCACGGTTCCATTCCTCCCTCTTTTCAGAGTCTCACTTTCTTGTCAAGGTTCAGCGTTGCCTACAACCGTCTCACCGGGGCCATACCTTCAGGTGGTCAGTTCTACAGCTTTCCACACTCGAGCTTTGAAGGAAACTTGGGACTTTGTCGAGCTATTGACACTCCTTGCGATGTTATGATGAGTAATATCTTGACACCTAAAGGCTCTTCCCGTACTCATCATAACAATGGTGGAAAGTTTGGGAGAAGCAGCATTATTGTACTTACCATAAGTCTCGCCGTGGGGATCACTCTGCTTCTCTCTGTTATTTTACTAAGACTTTCAAGAAAAGACGCTGATGATCGAGTCAACGACGTTGATGAGGACGTTTCCAAAGCTCCCATGTCATCATCAAAGATTGTTCTCTTCCATAGCTGTGGATGCAAAGATCTAACTGTAGCGGATTTGCTGAAATCTACAAACAGTTTCAGTCAGGCCAACATTATAGGATGCGGCGGGTTTGGTCTTGTCTACAAGGCCAATCTACCTGACGGCTCAAAAGCAGCGGTCAAGAAGCTTTCCGGCGACTGTGGGCAGATGGAACGTGAGTTCCAAGCAGAAGTTGAAGCATTGTCGCGAGCTGAACACAAGAATCTCGTCTCTCTTCAAGGCTACTGCAAGCACGGGAACGATAGGCTGCTTATCTACTCGTTTATGGAGAACGGAAGCTTGGATTATTGGCTGCATGAGCGTTGTTGTGTTGACGGGAGTATGACAACTCTCAAATGGGATGTGAGGTTGAAGATAGCTCAAGGAGCGGCGCGTGGACTTGCTTACTTGCATAGAGACTGTGAACCTAATGTTATCCACAGGGACGTGAAGTCGTCTAACATTCTGTTAGATGAGAAGTTTGAAGCTCATCTTGCGGATTTCGGGTTAGCGAGGTTGCTTAGGCCGTACGATACCCACGTGACGACTGATTTGGTGGGGACGTTGGGCTATATTCCTCCAGAGTATAGTCAGTCTTTGATTGCGACGTGTAGAGGAGATGTTTACAGTTTCGGTGTAGTGCTTCTGGAGCTTGTTACGGGACGTAGACCAGTGGAGGTTTGTAAAGGGAAAGGGTGTAGAGATTTGGTGTCTAGGGTGTTTCAGATGAAGGCTGAGGAGCGTCACGGTGAGCTTATTGATGCAACGATACGTGAGGATGTGAATGAGAAGGAGGTTTTGGAGGTGTTGGAGATTGCGTGCAAATGCATTGATCATGACCCTAGAAGGAGACCGTTGATTGAAGACGTCGTTGCTTGGCTTGAAGATCTTCCAGTAGAGTCTGTTGAAGAACCTTTGTAAGGATCTTTGTTAGTTTTGGGAATGAAATGAAGAGTGTAGATCGCTGGTTTTTGGTTTGAGAAATTTGGGATATACATGTAAAGCTATGAGCCTATGACGTGCTTATAAAGTATGTTCAAAATGTTAAGAGAAGAGTTTGACATAACTGAAAAAAAAAAAAGAACAACTATGTTACAACAACGAGGAGAACACTAGTTTTAAAAGCTCTTAAACAGATAATGCTGAAAAAAAAACTAGTATTAAAAGCTCTTATTAAAAGATTTTCATTAACTTCTTAATCAAATCATCTCAAGAACGTCTCCATAACGTCAGGGAACATTCCTGCGTTACTTCCGGAGTTGTTGTTCCTGAAATCTTGTGGTTGCTGATCGAGCGAGGTTGATGATGAAGAAGAGTCCATTCTTGCTGGTAATGTATAGCTTCTTCTAAACTTGTTAGGATGATTATGATGACTTTCAAGGCTCAACAACTCGTTCTGGTTCGTCGGGTTCTGCTCCTGGTTATACAGAAGCCTACTTGCTTCCTCTGCACGGCCAGTCAATGCATTGAACAAAGATAAACCGTTGGGCCATTTGATGTCGTCTTCTTGTTCTTCCATTTGAGGAAGCATCTGAGCAGGAGGAGGAGGAGGATGGCTTTCTTGAAGGAAACCGAATCTTGTCGATGCAGGTAGTTGGTTTTGGAAGCTAGGGGAAGGCAACAATGGAGAATGTGATCCCCAGTTAAAACCTTGAGACTGAAGCTGCTGGTTTGGAACCGAGGAAGAAGATGGAGTTGTAGCGGTTTGGTTTGAAGAGAAGAGCTGTGATAGGTAAAAACCGGATCGATAACCGATTGATTCAAACATTTGCCTCATCCTCAGCACAAAATGAAGATCTTCTTGAATCTGGACACAATTAAACAATGAGTTGTCACACCATATAGCCAAATAGAATAAAGCTAAAACGAAAACGTAAAGAGGAAAAAAAATTAACTCACAATCTTGCAAGAACCTAGCTGTAATAGACCATGCCCCGCTTGAATCACAGCAATTGTCTGGTCAAAATTTTAAACAGTGTTACGGTAAGATCAAGAAACAGTGTTAAAAATGAAGTTTGACTGTTGACCTGGATGCCTGATTCAAATTGGTCGGTCCATTCTGGAGGAAGCTGCAATAAAGTTGTGAACAACCAAAAGCTAAGGTGTCAGGTAACCATCAAGATCAAACTCCACATCTAACAAAAAAAAAAAGACTTAAAGATCTGTGGAAGATTGAGAAAACGTACAGCATCAAAAGAACTCTGCCAGTAATTAGCAAGATTGGGTTCAGATTCAGATGGTTCTTTGAATACCCATTTGTGACATTTATCAGAAGCAACTTTACCCATCAATCTGCAGATATATCATATAGAAGTTCCACAAGATGATTTGATAATAACTTGTATATTAATCAAAAGCTTTGTTAATCATGAAGTGATTAGGGGGTGTGTGTTTATATAATCTAATTATCTTCTTCCATAATTACTTGTATAACCACCTACCCATTACCCACCCTTCTCCATAATTATATAACTGAATGGACATTTTGCTGAATGCTTTTCTGACAAGATCTTCACCTTCAATGTCTGGTTCCAGACAAAGATCTTCACTTCTCCCTCCACCTCCACAAAAACCATCTTCCCACATCAACATCCTTTAAAATTAAAATCACACAAAGAAAACAAACTGTTAAGATCTTGGATAAAAAACAGAGCTGCTTTGTTTCTGTCTCTCTTCTCTAAAAAGCAGAGGAAGTAGAGAAAGAGAAAACTTACAAGCTGCCACTTTCATCACCAATCTTGCAGCCATTTCCACCACGGACCCTCCTGTAATCAGAAAGAGGAACAACAACAAAAAGATAAAGAAACATAGAAAGATAGTAGAACAGTGTAGAGAGAGAGATGTGTGTGTATGTACGGTCGGGGACGAATGGTCCAGAAAACAGAGTAAATCCAGTCGGAATTAAGACAGACGCTTCTAAGTGCTTCGTGAAGTGCCATCATTCCTACAGCATCTTTGCTTCTATCTCCTCCTAAGCTTCCTGAGCCCACCATGTCTCTAGTCTCTCTCTCACACACAGTTTCTTTTGTTAAAGAAACATCAAAAGTGTTTAAGGTCTTTAAACTCTTCAGCTTTCTTCAGACAGAGTCTCTGAGTTTCCAAATATTTTAAAACTACCCACTGAAAAGAAAGAAGGAAAGAAAAGAAAATATGTTTTGTTATCTTTTCTCTGTGAGGGTAAAATAATTTGTCAACCACTGAGCCTCATCTCTCTTACTTTCTGTCACTACTGTTCTTTTTGCATCGAGTCTTTTAGTAAACAGAGTTATGTTAATCGAAATCCCGGCGACAAGTTAGGGTTTAGCCGTTTTAGCGAATATAAATAATAAAACCAATTATTTATTGGAACATCCGTAAATATTGTTTCTTCCACTTGGTAATAATGCCATCTCCACTTATGAGTTGCATACATAAATATATTTGGTCCACCTAAATTTATTAAGGTTTTAGCTTTTTACACGTTTTTCAACTTTTTTTTTTTTGCTCTTTTCAAAACCTTAATAACACTCAACTTTTATAATCTTTGTTTTATGACAACTAAAGTTTTGCGAAATTTCTAATATCAGTATTTCCATTTTTTAAAAACTTTTATTTGATAAATTCATGGGGCTCTCTATTGTTTCAGTTAAACTTGCAAATCGGATTTTTTCTTCTATAATTTGATTAGAGTTAGTCATTAAATTTTTTAATAATCTGTACTAAATGAATTTGACCATGATACATCCATTAAGTTATATATCATAGACACGTTTTTTTTAAAAAAAACATATAATCATAGACACATAACCATTCAAAAACTGCAAAATTTTAACTTTTTGACAAATTCTAAGATTATTTTGGATTTGGCTCTGAAAATTTAATTTTTATTTACATACTTTCTTATAATTTTGTTTAATATATGAATTTAATTTGTGTAGTTGCATATTAGTGAATGGAAAAAATAGAAAATACAAAATTTTGAGAGGGTGGGGAAAAGTATTATATATCTTCTTTCTGGCTAGCAAGACAAATGTAAATGTTGAGGGGTGACAAGTGGTTCTGTTTTTGTTTTCCCCTCTCCCCTCTCATCACTCACTACCATCTCTAAATTTTAATTTTACCCTTTTTCCTCTACGTCAATTACGATATCATGACAGGTTTTATGTTTTTATCGTATTGAAGACGAAGGAGAACCATATTATATGTCTCTATTTCACAATGGTTTCACTTTCGTGCGGAAGTTTAATATATATATATAATAAAAGAGCAAAATATTGAAGAATCTTAAAGAAAAAAATACTAGAATCTAAATTTTATTGGATGTACACTTCACTCAAGTAGCAGACTGGACCGCAAATTGTTTTAGTATCTAGCCAAAAATTGTTTTCATTTTAGCAGATTGTGCTTTTATCGAGATAACATAAAAATTGCCTATGAAATGATAGCTACCCTACGTTAGAGCAAAGATCTTTATATTTGATAAAATCATCTGATTTTTTATGTAATCATTAGAAATTTCATCGTTGGCATTCATCAGAGACTGAGAAAACGGATACTACAAACCATCTCCAGAGAGCAACCCTTCAAGCTTATGATCGGCCATGTGTACTTGAGCAAACTAATCCTGTTTCCAGCCGTTTTCTCAATATTACCCGAACGTTGGTGCCTCCATTCATTCCTCTTCTTCCACATAAGATATGGATGTGTGAAACATTAATCGGGAGAGGATGAAGTCCATAGTGCTTATGACCGACGGCATTAGCTATGGCGTTTTTGATGAGTTTGATTACTTTTAAGAGCTTCATTTGTGGATTTGATGTTTTGTTGGATGTCCTTAGGCCATGCACATCAAGAGTTCATGGGGTAAGGTCACACACTTCCTAACAAAAAAATTATTATAATAATTACTTTCGATGAACTCGGCTCACAACGCTTGGTCCAGATGAATCTGGTTCATGACTGTTTTGCGGACTCCACGCCACGTGGCGACCAGCTATTGGTCCGTTTATTATTATTTTTTTTTTTAAAGTCAAACGAAAAAAACTGAACCCCAACGCGGATTCGTTGATGCGCATGCCCTTAGAACTTTATGTGGGGGGGGGGGAAGTTTACGTACTAAGACCATCTCCAACAATGACACAAAAACACTAGTTTCGGTGAAAATCCATCTCCAACAAAACACCAAACTTGACATTATTTTCACCAAATTTGGTGTAAAGTGAATAGTGTTACACCAAATTTTAAAATACATATTTTATTACATTTCTTTTAATAATATTTTTAATAACTATTATTAATTAGTTCAAATTTGTAATTAAACCTAAATATAATGTATTTTTAAATCATTTTACACAATTAGTTTTTTATTTTCTATTAATAAATCACTAAATATCATATTGTAAGAATATATATTATAGAATTTTTAATTTTAAAAGAATTAAAATTTAATTAATATTTTTTAAAAATAGAAAAATCAATACTATAAACTAGATTTAGTAGTAACTAACTAAAATTTTATGTAATACTATTAAATTTATCAAACATTAATATAACATTTATAAATAGTTAAACTTGTATTACTAACTAGTACAAATTTTATTAAAATATATATAGTATTTTGTTATGTATTTTCATTTTTAATAGTTTGTAATTTTGATCATAACTAATATTTAGATAAGAAATACATAGAGATATTATATTGGTAAATCAAAAATAAATGTAAATAAATTTTATTAACATAAAACTACAAAATTGTAACAAACTTAATAAATAAGTGTGATAAAATAATTCTATATCAGTTACAAATAATTAAAACATAAAAATTATTAAAACATAAAAATGATTAAAACAAAAAAATAAAAAACAAATAGTATTATTTTTGATATAAAATTTAGTGTTGTTGTTGGAGATGGTAAAAGAAGTTTAACAGCAAAATATTAAATTTGGTGTAATTTTAACACCAAATTCAATGTCATTGTCGAAGATACCCTAAAGTTAGCTTGAACAAAGAAAATAGTTGACAAACAAAATTAGAAGTATTTTTAGGAAATTAGTTAATTTCGTAAAATATAAAAGGTTACATCACTAAAAAACGAATCATCAAGAAATGGAAGAACGAAGTATGCGGATGTAATATAAGAAATTTAACCAAAGAAAAAGCTAGTGCACTAATGGCTGTTTGACTACACTATACACGTATTATAACTAACATTAATGCAAAAAAAAAGAACATTAATGCTAAGTACACAGTGCAACTCTTTCCAAATCACCGAAGAATATTGCTATAGAAAATTCAGAGATATGGTCATCAACTTTAAAATATACTACCTAATCACTGAGATCTGTGTAGATAAAGAAGATTATTAATAGCAGTGTGTACTAGTTTAATCAGGTTAACTAGATTTTGACCCGCGCTTCAAAAGCGCGGGTTTTTGTTAGATTATAAACAAATTTGATATGATTTAGTATTTTAGAAATGATGTACATTATTAGGCTACAAATCTTAATATATAAAATAGATTTTTTTGAAAAACTATGTAATTTATAAATTAGTTTATTTGAGATTTTATATGTAAGTTTTTAATGTAACTCTCTCTAGGTCTTGACATTTTATCCGGATCGAAAAACACGACCAAACCGACCCGAAAATATAGGTTCGGCTAGGATCTATGATAAAGTACTTACTGGCTATCTTTAAAGACCCGCAGGAATCGATTCTAGTATGGATCATAACCGAGACTCGATCGGGTACATAAAAGCACTCAATATTTTTTTTTATTATATATGTTTGGATATTTCATATATGTTTTTGGTATGATGTATATTCTTTTAAGTTTTAGTTACAGTTTTAGGTTTCGGGTTCTAAAATATATATATATATATATATATATATATATGTATATTTTTTTTTTTGGATATTCAAATCAAATTTTTGGGTATATTTTGTTTTTCGAGTCAGATTAGGTAAAATTCAAGGTTTTCAGATATTTGAATATATTTTGAGTATTTATTTATGGTTTGAAGTATTTTTCAAATATTTTTCCGGTTTATTGGTATTTTGAGTCCTAACNTATTCAAATCAAATTTTTGGGTATATTTTGTTTTTCGAGTCAGATTAGGTAAAATTCAAGGTTTTCAGATATTTGAATATATTTTGAGTATTTATTTATGGTTTGAAGTATTTTTCAAATATTTTTCCGGTTTATTGGTATTTTGAGTCCTAACTATCCAAGCCTACCCGCTACATATCTGGAAATTAGAAATTACCACTGGAAATACATAGAAATTAGATTATTCATGAAAATATTGAAATTATAAGTTACAATCTTTCAAGAGTCTAGATATCTTTTTAAACAAAATTAATGTTTTAAAATAGTTTCTCTAGAATAGTAAATCATTAATTCTATAACTTGTTTGTATAAATATCCCCAAACATTAGAAAACTATGATAATAAACCGGTTTTTGTATTATTACAATATACTATGTTATAGATAGGTTTACTCTAAAAATAATAATATGTTTGGTTTTAAACATATTTATCGTGAATGGAGATGTTCAATATATTTTATACTCTCTATTTATCAAACATCAGCTATGAAAATTAATCAATGAAAATTATAGAGGGTACTGTTGCACAGTTGGTGGCTCAAGCAAATGATATATTTTTTGTTTAATGTGTGAAATCAGTCACATATTATGAAATTATATGATATAAGGTTATAATAATGTTTTGTGGAGAAATAAAAATATTGACCGATAAGAGTAATGTATAATAAATAAGAATATTGACTAATTTATTGTTAGAGAAATATAAGATAAGTTACATGATATAATGTTATTGTACAATATTGTTAGAGAAATATAAGGAAAGATAAAAAAAAATGTTAGTATAATGAAAGGGTCCAAACAACTTTTTTAAGTAGATTTATTTAGACTCCTTCTCTTTTAATAGTATAGATNGAGTAATGTATAATAAATAAGAATATTGACTAATTTATTGTTAGAGAAATATAAGATAAGTTACATGATATAATGTTATTGTACAATATTGTTAGAGAAATATAAGGAAAGATAAAAAAAAATGTTAGTATAATGAAAGGGTCCAAACAACTTTTTTAAGTAGATTTATTTAGACTCCTTCTCTTTTAATAGTATAGATTCAGAAAAGAAAAGATCAAAAAGGAGGGGTCACGTGCGCACGTGCGGGGAGTTGGTGCGTCACTTATCGTGAGGAAAGCGAACCGCACGAATCGCGG